TTAAAAAAACTACTTAAGCATTACTCAAATATGCAACTCCGATGGTTGCTTACTTAAATTCTACTTTATTCATTAATTCATTCATTAATATATTCATTAATAAATATGCCATAATGATATTCAAAATGCTACTTAAAAATTTCCTAAACATAAAACATAATGGTGCTTACTTACAAATGCTACCTAAGCATTACTTAAATATGCTAGTTAATACTACTTACTTAAAAATAATATGCATTATTGAAAGATACTACATAATGCTAATTACTTTAAAAATGGTACTTAAGCATTACTCAAATATGCAACCTAACATTGCTTATCTAAAAATTCTACTTAAGCATTCATTAAATACAGAACTTAATAATACTGCTTACTTAAAAATGATACTTAAGCATTACGTAAATATGTTACATAATGCTGCTTGTCCAAAATGCTTAAGCATTATGCAGAGAAATACTCCAGCCTAATGTCTCACTGCCGCATGTGTAGCAAAAGATCAAAGATCTTTTCTTTTGATTTCTATTGTAAGTGCGTTTTGAGTCAACAGTGTGGTGCAGTATGTGTGATGACCTAAGTGAGCAGTTTGCATGATGCTAACTGGTTCTAAATAAACTTCTATAACTCGTTAGCTTGTAGCTGTACTTCCAGTGCAGAACAAAAAGCAGCAAACCTCAGACACCAAACATGTCTTGTCTTGACTGATTGAGGTAATTTGGGAAAATGAGTCAATGGTGTAAATTAGATGTGCTGAACTATCGCTTTAAGGTTTAGGTGGGGAGAACAGGCCTCGGATTTGTGTGAAAGGACAGTCAACGTGCACATGCAGTCCTGGGAAACACTGCCTCGATACCTGCCGCAGGTCCCTCCTCTGAGCACGCTATCTTTAATCTCAGGTTTTTTTTGAGCACGTGGTCCCTCCCTGCGTGTGCATACCTGGCCGCTTATGTAAGTACAAAGCTTTGTGGTGTCGGTTGCTACGGACACAGAGCTGTGGGCGAATAATATTGCATCACAGGGTGACATCGAGGAAACTCCTTATCACAGTCTTTTTGTAAAGTTCAATTTACAAACAGGTGTGGAGAGTAACAGATTACAAAGTACTTCACATGCTTAAGCAGCATATTTCAACTAGCCAATAGCATTAAGTAGCAAGCATATTCACAGGAATACTTTGGCCTTTTTAATCTGATCTGCTGCATCTCTATCATACAATCAATTACGCAAGAATTTTGACACATGTTCCTGTAAAGATCACATACATCCGTTGCCTTGAAATGCACTTATAATAGAAGCAAAAGGGCAGCTGCTTCGATCGCATGCACACACACATTACATTGAAAAACACTTTTTCAGTTAATGCCTAAGTAGCTTTCTTACATAAGTAGCAATAAGTAGCATATTTGCATAATGTTTAAGTGGCAATTTAAAACAATTAGCATAAAGGAGCATATTTACCTTATGATTAAAAAAGCATTTAAAACAAGTAACATCCAGTCGCATATTTACACAGTACTTTATGTAATGCTGAAGTGGCATAAGTAGCATTAAATAGCATATGTATATAAGGCTTAAGTAGCATTTAAAATGAATAGCATTATAACTAGCATATTCACATCATGTATAAGTAGCATCTTCAGCATGTTGCATGTTTTAAAAAATGCTTTTTACATAAGCAGAATTAAGTAGCATATTTACGTAAAGCTTAAGTGGTATTTTAAGTGAGTAGCATTAAGTTGCATGTAATGCTTCAGTAGCATTTGATATAAAGTGCATATTTAAGAAGTGCTTAAGTAGTCTTTTTAAGTAAACAGCATTAAGTTGGATATTTAAGTAATGCTTAAGAAGCATTTTATATGTACTTGTGTAATACTCTGCTAACATGAGACGTGATTTATTGTACTTTTTCATTTTTTTACGGTAAATATCTTTTTCATTCAGTGTGTTCAGGCATGTGCTGCATGTCACTCTTTTTGTATCCCATTTATTTTTAAAATATAAGAGTTCAATTCTTTGATGATATTTAAACCCTTTGAAGTGCAGGCACTTTAATTCTCAGATGTTTTTTAAATACTGGCTTTCACTTTTTGTAAAGTTATATGTGTTATTTTTACTTAAGCAAAGGATTAGGTAGTTTATACCACTGATGATAAATGATGTAATTTATAAATGTCTTAATTCCTCTGTCCACTGAAGATGCTTCCCCTTTTGAGTCTGGGTTCCTCTCAGTGTTTCTTCATCCTGCTCTGAGGGACTTTTCTACTGTTGCCTTTAGCAATGCTTATTCGAGGTCTGGACCTGGACTTCTGAAAAGCTGCTGTAGGACAACACCAGTGTAAAAATGTGCTAAACAATTAAAGTGAACAGTAATTATTCAGTTTTTTAGTTAATTCCTTAAAGCATTTTAAGTGGTTAGTTAAATTTAGAATAAAAAAGGCAGTAAATGTAGTCTAAGCTGGTTTTGTCATGTTGAAATGGCATCTGGATTAACTGTGTCTATAATAAGGCTGTAATTGAAAATCATTATATTTTTATTCCACTTGAGCATAAAAGCGAGAGTGTACAGAGTGGTAAGCAGTGTCCTTGGCGGCATGACTTGCATATTACGATAACAGTGTGTTCCTGGTGTTTGGCCTGGCCCTCACCACTGCTGTCCCTGCTCGTTGACCTGTCTGACCTTTTGCCTCTGTGTCCGAGTACCTGATCCCAGGGTAACAAAAAAATAAAAAGGCAAATAAAACAAACAAGAAGAAAAGCCAGGGGCCTGGGCCTGTGTGGGTCAACGCCTGAGTCATCCTCCTTTGTGTTTAACTCCACCATACGATCCCACGGACCAAGCGGACGTCAGCTTTGTCCGTGTTATCATCATTTGGTCTGAGAGGATCATGGGCTGCTGTGTGGGCGTGTGTGTGTATAGAACTTTGATGCATATTCCCTGACCTTTGTGTGACCCGGGACGAGTCTAAAGAGACAACAGCAGCTGGGCTCTGGAGACTGGGAGAAAAAAGGAAGAAGAAAAAAAACTGCCCCTGGCTAATCCAACAGAAGGACTGAAGAAAATAGCAAAATGAAAAGAGAAAAAGCAAGAATTCACCTGGAAACCTCTGTATTAACTAGAGGTGAATTTTTAGGTCCGATTCCAGTTCTGATTTCTTTACAGACAAATTGATAAATGAGGAAATTATTTTTGGCTGATTTTTATAAGCCAATGTATTTGAAATCAAATACAGCTGGACCACTAATTCATAACTATCAATAACAACAGAGAATAATAGATGGCGAAAGTTTGAACTTGACAAACCCATTGCAGTGAAATTCCTGATGGTGCTAAGGGGTTACTATGCTGTTGCTATGTTATACCAGGTGGTTGCTAAGATGTTGCTAAGCCATTGCTAGGGTACCCCAGGTGGTTGCTAGGCCATTGCTATGTTATCACAGGTGGTTGCTGAAGTGTTGCTAGAACATTGCTATGGTATCCCAGCTGGTTGCTAATATGTGTGTATATATGTGTGCTGATATGTATGTGAGTCTGTATGAAATGTCTATGAGGGCCAATGTGAGAGATGTCCTTTGTGACACTTCTGGCAGTTAGATTTGAAGTTTTTCAACGTTCCTCCATTCATTTCATATGGGAAAAAAATGTCTGAATAAACGCTGCACAAAAAACTATGTATGAACAGTCCCAAAAGCACCAGTGTCCTGCAAAGTTTTGCGGTTGTAGTGCAACCAGCAAAGTTGGCTCTTATCAAACAGCATGTTGGCTCTTATCAAAAATAGGTCAAATGTGTCATTTGTCTTTGGCATAAGCATGACATTTATTTGTTGTCTGAAAATTTATAGTCTTTGTTTTACCAAATTTTTTGGGGCCAGTTTCTAGGAGAATGCCACCTGAAATGTGGCTGTATTTTTCTGGAAGCAACCACATCCTACAAATCTTACTTATAAAGTTGTGTAAGTCATTATTACTTATACAGTCCAAATTCATTTTTACATGAACATTTTCCAACCACTCTTTATCCTTCAGAATTAAACAGGCCAGGTTTTTGTTACTGTCCATCAAAGACAGATATATTTAAATGATCTTTGTTCTGATTGGCGGTCCTGTATAGGCCCTCATTCAAAAAGCAATCCAGGCTGAAACACGTCTTACAGACTTGGAGAGTGAATGAAACACTTTGAAACATTGCCAGCATTTACACACCACATCAAACCCTTTAAATTCAAATGTAGGTTTCTCACACTTAATTTCAAGAATAATCACGATGCATTGAGCTAGCTGAGTGTTTTTTCTCGATGATAGGTGGGGGTGGAAGAAGGAGAAGGTGTAACATGATATTATTGTTTAATATTATTTTGTTCTTCCCCACTGCTGCACAGTGACATAGCTAAACATCAGAAGGCGTTTTAGAGTCGGGCACAAGTCATTACATTTTTCATGGAAATACAAGAATTTTCAACTTTTAAATGAGATGATGATTTGAGTTTAATGTGGGCAGGGACATGAACTAACAAGTTAAAAAAGGGTAAATTGCATTTAAAGTTGACTTTAATTTTAGACCTCCCATAAGAGCAATAGACACCCCTCACATGAGAAACAAAATCAAACCTGGAATGGTCTCGTTATTTTCTTTAAAAAAATTAGAACTGACAAAAAGAAATGCCACCAAATGAGGCATCTTTTTCAAGATTTCATTGTGATCAATGTGAGACTCCTCCTTCTGAAAATATAGTACATAAATACTACATACAGGTCACCTTGTAGTCAAGACTTTCCACCAGGGACCCTCCCGAGACCTCTGCCTCAATTTGAACCCCAGAGTGGCTTAGGTTTTCATTCCATCCAAGCAGAAGCACACCTGGTAAGATTGGTGACCTCTGATCTAGACAAATGTTTGGTATTTAGACTCAAGACTATCTTGTAGAGGATTGGATCCGCACAGTTAAGTCACACCAGCTCTTAATCAAGTCTGTACTGAACACATGTATTGTTAACGGTCAGTATGTAAGAATCACACTTTATTGAAAAAAAATGCAACCTGGCATATATTCCCATAATGAATATACATTAGCATACAGCTTGAGCTCTGAGTGCATACATGGTCAGGATAGAAGGAACTGAAGAAAGAAGAAACTTCTGCAAACACAATGCTAGCAAACATTAAAAGGAAAACAATGGACAAAAATAATGCACTTTTAATTATTCAGAGCGAGTACAGCAATGCTGGTAATATACAAGGGCACAGGGGTTAAAATATTTGTGCTATATAATGCAGTCTCTTTCTAAAGCTTTCTTTCTGGAGCAGTATGTCAGCACGGCACAGCTGAACTAGCTTAATGACCCAACAGAACTGGCCTAACAGAGCCGCATCGTGGGCCGTACCACAGTTTGAGCGGTAAGGGGTGTCTCAAGGCAGCTCTGTGTGGTCATTTTGTCCATTTCCAGGAGAGACACCCCTCTGTGAGATGAAGTAAGTCAATCTGAGGGGGTCTGTGTTTCTAAAAGCAGGTGGCCCAGCACTGTCTCTAATCTTCATAAGCTCAGCGGCTCTAACAGTCGGTGCTATTTGCTCCATACAAAATTGCCTGCATTGACGCAAGCCATTCGTGATATTTCCCTCTATCCATTTAGATAGTGGACATAGTGGTCTCACTCAAAAGGGGTCAAAACCTCTGCCATGACACTAGAAACCCCACCATGTTAGGATGTCTTGGTACACATAGTTTGGTTGTTTCATTTACTTCACATGAATAGATTATTCCAGGCTTTTATCTGGAACCTAATATAATGTGTTTCAGTCTCAAATCGACCATCCAAGAATCCACCATCACCTTCTAGAGCATTCCAGAAAGCATCAGTCTAAGCAATACAATGTTTTTGTACAGCTGCTGTAGCCTACATGTAACACTTTCAGCTTTTGCGTTGGTTCAGTTCACAAGTACAAGTACTGAGCTTCAATTAAATGACTTACATATGTTTCCCTCTAGTGGTTGAAACCTGCAAGTTCTGCCTCTGTCCAAAGTCATCTTCCAAGGGTAGAACCAAATGTACTTCAATGGTGCCCTCTAGTGTTTCACAGTCAATGCCTCATTTCAACAAAACACATTTGTTTATGCTTGCAACTGTCCTGGGAGCTATTTCACAAAGTAAATTTTCAGCAAAGTTGGATAACAAAAGTGGGGACTTCCCAAAGTTCCTTTTCTCCTGCCACAGAGTCCTCACTTTTGGCCTGCCTCCTTTAAAGGAATGGTTTCACTTACCCTAGATCAGCCAAGACATCCATATTCTGCTTCTTAATGTTGCCAACAAACACTACAACACTCAATAGTTACCCAAATCTTTTCCATTAATACATCTGCAAAACTTCTCACAACATGCTCAAATTGCATCCAGCTCTTTCTCATGCAGGTCATGCAGACTTGTCAATGTGGTTCAGAGCGCAGTACAACTCACTGAAAACTATAAAAATAAGCAAAACCCCACTGTGTAGCTGAAAGCAGCAAGCAGTCATTCTGCATCCCCTACAGAATCTGAATCCCCTTCAAATGCACACACATCACACAGACTGTTTACGATTTCTGTTGTTTCTAATTATATACATGATATTTCAAAAATCACAAGCATAATCTGAGGTGTCTAAATGCCTGCGTGACATTTGCACAGAAATGGGAGTCATTTCTGACACAGCACAACACCTGCTGCCTGCTGCGTTCAGCTACATGGTGAAGTTTTGTTTATTGTTATACTGTGACCACACTGATAAGTCTGTACAACCTTAATGAAGACTTGGCAGTTTTAGAGAAGATTTGGGTGACTATTGGCTTCTAGTGTTTGTTAGCAACATTAGCCTCATAGCTCCTGTGCTAAATTATAGAAGTAAAAGTTAAGACACCAAACACGTCTTTGCTGATAGACGACATCTGGGAAAATTGTGTAAAAATTTTTCACCAAAATATTCCTTTAAGCTTTGCTGACCAGTCAGCATGTCCTGGTTTTTATTCCTCACTCCTGTAATAATAACATATCAAAAAGCTTAAGAAATTGCACTTTGTGAAATACTCCCGTTCTCCATTTCATCTCACTGAGCAAGTCAATAACCCACTATTACATTTTCCCTTTAATATGTCACAATAGTGGCACATCCCTTTAGTTGCAAACGTTTTTGGTGCATAACCACGAGCTGGTTATATTTCGGCAGTTCATGGCAGGTAAAATCCTCCGGAGTTTCTTCATGTGTAATACTGATTTACAAAGAATGTACAGCACATACAATGGGCTACATTGAGGGGGGGTGCCTCTGAAAGGGCCAGTTCAGGATTTTATCTGTTTAAGTTCAGTACTATAGTCAACTCTGATTTTCATGACTTGTCTGTGCAACTCCGCCATGTCTTTTTATGCATAAATCCCCTATTATTCATCACCAGAGCCGAACACCTCCGCTGTCATGTAGAGATGTAAACAATTTTGAATCTTTGAGGTTCCAGTCTGGTTTTTGCGCAGTATGTGCTGCAGTATGATCAACATCTGCTGGTGGAGGTGGTCTTGTATAAAAGTTGGCTGCTGGTATGGGGGATTGCTGTTGAACTTGTCAGCCTGAAATGCGTGTAACAGTAAACTCAAGCAAGAACAATACAAAATCCAAGCTGCACCCTTCAGCCGAAAGAGTGCTCCCTTTAGAGAAGTCCTCATGCTTCAGGGGCTGACGATTGTCAGCGACAGTTCTGAGTCAGACACTTCTGAGTCAGCTGCTTTTTCTTCCAGTTGACAGTGAAAAAATAGAGATGCTCACTTTTGCCCTCTGCCTGCTCTCGCTCTGCAGGGGAAGCTATTAAAATACTTTTTATGGTTTTCTTAGTTTGCTTTTTCTACAAAAATAACAGCCTCCATTTTCATGTAAAGCAGTCAGGTGTGGAGGGGTTGGAATTCTGGGACAGGGAGTGCGCGAGTGAGTGTACGTGCAAGTTCAGAAGTTGCTAAAGATCTCGTATTTCTTATTCCAGTCCATCTGTGGTGCTCTCTTCTTGGCACGCTTGGCGTGGGCCTTCTCTTTAGCCTCTGCCGCGGTGGGGCTCAACTTCAGGCCAATCTCAGCAAAGGGGTCCAGCAAGCGACTCCCACCATCCTCCGAGTTCTACACACAGACACATACACAACAACAATTGGTACATCTGCCAGCAATGCCGTGTTCAACTTTCACCGTCACACAATGTAAACTGCCTATCAAAAGTTTGGGGACACCTTGCCCTTGGCTAGGATTGTGCGGAGTACCAGGTTGGCTACCCTATGTTTTTTTAAAAACAAACAGGACACTGGGTAGATTGGAGAAGGTAAAGCCAAAATTTAGGCAATTTAGAAATCCCAGCCAGGGACAAGCCAACCTTACAAGAAGCAAACTGTAACAACAAGCAAAACGCGTGGGGTATGGCATTGTTCCCCAAAATAGTACTTAAGTTTTATGGTTTCTGCACAGAAAAATGTTAAACTCTAAATGGCTTTCTAACTCTAAAGTTCCTGCAAACTTACAGAGAACACTAGCTCACTGTAATGCCGAGGTGGGTGAGGCAGGCATAGAAGTAGGATACAAATGCTTGTTTAATTTCTTAGTCCATCCAACAACAGGAGTCAAACAGCAGAGGGAAACAAACAGCGCAGACAGAAGGCAGGACAAATAACAAAACAACATATAGAAAAACAAATGAGCAAACCAAATATAATAATCACACACACACACACACACACTCCCCCATACACACACCTGTGTGCTGGTGTCCTGGCTGCTGTGGTCTGAATGTGTAGACTGGGATGTGGAGCGTCCGTTGATGCGGGGACTGGGCGAGCCGTTAGTAATGGACTGAGTATCAAAACCTGAACCGGAGAACACAAACAGTCATTCCGCTGTTCACGCACATCAGCCAGCCACAAAAAGTTATTACATGAAATAGCTACAAACACACAGCCTGATGTCTAAGACATGGTTTCAGGATCGTTTTCTAATAAGATTTTAGCGTAAAACATATTTTGCAGAAGAGGTACTTGTAGGGCATTGTAAGGCAAAATAGTCCACAAAGAAAACTTTTTTGGATTTTCCTCTATTTTACCATCTTTAATATTACATTACAAATAAAAGGTTCACAGGCCATTTTGAATAGTAAATGGCTGTTTTTGAAAAAAAAACAAAAAAACAACAGTGGCTCAGATCAGATTTTTTCATTCACACAGTTCTGAAAACATCATATCTGTGTTATATTAATGGAATCAGAATTTAAAAAATCAAATTACAATATGAACATAGCTTTTTAACAACTTAGCATGGTTTGAGGCAAACAGCAGATTGACTTTATTTGGGGAAAAAGGAAAATAGTAAAATGTAGTTAATGTAAACTGAAGAACTGCACCTTTGACGTGGCTGCCAGTGGGAGTGATGCCCAGTTTTTTGAAGTGCTCATCTGTGTCTGGATCCACCACCAGCAAACGCGTCTCGTCCCCTCCACGCTTGATGAAGGCCACTACCTCAGCGTGCCGCATGCTTTCAATGTTCACCCCATTTACCTGCAGAGAGAGAGAGTGAAATCAACAGGTCTTTGTTTCTCTTGGGTTCTGTCTCAAAAAGCAGTTTCTTACTTAACCAGCTAACTTTATGCCTTCAATCCAACCCTGGATTTTCTGTCTCACGTTAGTGGATCACTTTTTACCAGGAAACATCATCACAGCAATTTATGATGTATGCCTGACCTGTTCCAGGGCAGGTCAGGTCAGGTCAGGTTCCGAATTTTTGATATAAACAGCTCTTGGACCAATCAGAGCGAACTTCTGAGCAATTAGGGACTGACAGAGTGGCTACCTCCGGTCACTTTTTTTTCTTCATGCAGTTTGTGGCATCACTCGCATTAAGAATATGGATTCATTAGTAAAGGATGCAAATCATACTACATAGATAGTAAGAATATTAATCCTGGATTAACAGAGAAAGTTGTTAATGACCTACATAAAATGAGTTAATCACGGTTTTGTTGGTCAGTTTTATTTGTCAACAAAGCTAAAGTCAGGAACCCTGTCTAAATTAAACTTGCTTCATGAGACAGGCCCCTAGTCTCTCTCTAGAACCCCTAAAAGAAGAGAGCACTGCAGCTCTGAATCATCTTTTCCATTCCCTGCTACCCTTAAACAGTTTCCCTTTCAGAATATTCCTGAACGAGTCAGTGAGTAAGAGGGTATTCTGTGCAAAAGCAGAAAAACAAAGCTGCATTGTACAAACTATAAAGAAGGTTCTAGTTACAGTATTTACCCAGAGTTCATTCATTCTTTCTAATCACATTCATATCAGGGTTTGGCCACCAGGTGTCTCTCCATCCTATGCATATTCTCCTATCCGTGCCAGAGTTGAGAAAAGCCATGGAAATAGGTCGGATATTTTCCATATAACGGTCACGATGGTTGTGCTTTACTTTCAAACAGCGTAAGAGAGTCTAAGAAAGTTTCCTTTCTCCCATAAAGACTCTCCTGAGATAGAGAGGCAGATGTTTTGCCATTCAATTAGGCTTTTAAACCCTCTCCTTATCATCTGTGGAGTCTTTCACCAAAATATGTTGTTTCCTTCGCCCTTAGTCGCCCCTCTTTTCTCTTTTAGTCGCTTAGCAACCCATTTGGCGGTGGGATCAGGTTCACCGGATGGATAAGGGGAGAGAAGAGAGGGGAACAGAATTAGGTCTGAAAATCTAATCTCGAAAAACATCCCTCCAACCACCTCAAAACTACATGATGTTCTCTCTTATGTGTGGCTTTTTATATCAGAACATTTTCAGCAGGGATGCAAAGGACCTGAGGGCAGGTAGCACAAAGCCATCAAATATTGATGGCGAGGCTGCTGTTGTGGCAATAGCGTGGGTTTCAGGTGACAGTGCCCTGGGGGGGTGAGAAGGGTAGTGTGTGTGCGTTTTCTTTAAAGGAATAGGTCAGCAAAAATAAATAAACAAATAAATAAACAAATAAAATAAAATAAATAATTAAACAATTTCCTCCTTACTCTGAATGAAGTCATGTTTGGTACCCGAAGTCTGTTACTTTAGATGCGCACTGAAGCTACAAGACTTAACCTTACCCCACCAGATAGAACTGTGGAAACTGCCTGTCTAAATCATCACACACTCGCCTTAGTCAGTGTCAAGTTTTGAAGTAATCTCAATCTACTTGCTTATGAAGTTTCTGGCTCTGTGTGACATACTGACATCTCTAAAAATGCACTAAAGTACAGACAAAATTCAGGCTGCTATGACAGTTTTTGTTAAGCGACATACTGTACAAAGGTCAGAGAACACCTTTATGATGTATCCAAAATTCGGAACCTGACCTGCCCTGCCCTGGAACAGGTCAGTTTCTGAATTTTGGATACTAAAGATGAATTCCAGATTTTTCAAAATTCATTTTTGTTTCCTAAAATGCATAATTCATTCATTCAGATGCAAACAGTGTCTTTCAGAGTTGTTCAGTGTAAAACAGTTCACTGCAGAGAAACTCTTTACAATGGTGGTGATAGGATTTAGGTGTTGTGATGTCTACAACACAAATATTACCATTTTATTTACTATCCAAAATGACCAAGTGTGTCTGAGTTCTTGTATGTTATTGATGTTAAAATAGTAGTTAACCAGAAAAAGATAAGTTTTCATGTATCCCTGAATGTACTCTTCATGAATGGATATAAAATATACATTTTAGACCAAAACCTTACAACTATCATAATGTCTTGGGCATCAGTCAGTGTATCCATGACCATTTCTTTATTAACTTTCTGTGAAGTAGCTTTCTGAGGCATTAGATGCTTCAGATGTCTGGTTCCTATCACCACCACTGTGAACAATCCTGACCCACTAAGTTTCTCTAGAACAAAGCACTTCACATCAAACCACTCCGAATGACATAGTTTACATCTTAATGATTTAATTATGCTAAAAGCAAATTATAACCGCAAATTAATCATTTTTGAGCATCAGTGAAAAAAGCAGGAAACATATTTAACAGGAAATGACACTGAATCCTCAACTAAATATAATATCAATTTTTAACGTGTCCAGCCTTTACCTTTATTACAGGAGACAAGATTTAGTTTTTCAAAGAAATCTACAGGGATATTTTTCAGCTCCAAAGTTTGGTCTTTTAAGTTGATTATGTTTTCTGCTTCTCACAATCCAAGTAATCCGAAACACATTCAATGATGTTGAGGTCTGGACTGTGGAGTGGCCAGTCCATTGTTCTCAGATCACCAGCAACTTCTTTGTTACAAATTTTCTTTTTTCTTTGACTTTCTCCTTTCTTATGCAAGCAGATTATCCTATGTATAATCACTTCAGAAACACACACACACACACACACACACACACACACACACACACTCACTCATTTGCTTCTTGCTGTGAAGTGACAGTACTACCCACTGCGTCCCCATGCCACCCACCTCGGAAATAGCTCCTGAAAAATGAATAGCTTGTACTTAAAGGTCGTTTTGACTGGAAATAAATTAATGAATGGTGGTCTTTTTTGCATAGTACTCTGTGTTTTGTAGACATTTGACACCTATTTGAACTTACCTAACAACCTAACACAATTTGAGGCAAGTGATGATTCAGGCATGCAGTTTTTATATTGCTAACTGGTGATGTATAAGCCTCACATTAGCCTTGTAGCTCCAGGGCAAAACTTCAGACACTAAACATGTCGAGGCTGACTGACTACACACTATATAAATTTGTTTTTTTTCACTGAATCATTTCTTTACATTCATTTGATATATAGAAAAGTGCAGGGGATAAGTGAAAATGAGTGACACAAGTGGTGCCTCTGCCTCATATTGACCTGTCTTGGGAAGATGGTGGTAGAAAAAGAAAGATGGGGGGAAGAAAGGAAAGAGCCAGTGAATTTACAGTCTGAGTGATTGTGCTATTGTGCTATGTCTTGAGGATTAGTGAAAGGAAGAAGGTTCAGCTAAATGGAAAGCTTCCTCAGCTGCCTGTTGTTATGAAATCTGGCTCTGAAAGCCAAAAGGCTGCCTTTCTGATAAGTAAGTAGATCCCAACCACGCATGCCAACTTGTGTTAACGACTGGGGGGGGCAAAAAAAAAGTGAATATACGTCCTAATCTGATGAGAGATGTTTTATTTTGGGGAAGGATGATGAAGTAAGAGCAGGAATCATAGTTAAATAAATGTAAATAATTAATTTCATTTTCATTATCATACACTTTTGTGATAAAGAAATAAAGTAATCACAAAAAGCAGTGCTGTTGTTCCAGTATTATGAGCAGCTCACATTCCAGAAAAATGGAATAAACAGTCAAATCTGTCACCCAATCTGATGTCAGAATAGTGTTGAGGGTAAACAAATGTACTGTGCTTATTTCAGAATGATATCTTACTGAGCAGAGTGACTGATTTGACTGTTTATCCATTTCAGTAAAGAAATCTTTCTTAATTCCACAGCACACACACTGTATATGTGAACGGGCAGGGAGTGCGAGCCACATTGCTCATGCCAGCAGTATGAAACAGAACAGCTGAAAGTTTATTAAAATCTCACTAAAAAGCTGAAACTGACCCACAATGTGTCCAAATGTAAACGTCTGAAACAGGGTGTAAAAAAACACAACATATTTATTTGAACAACTGTAAATCCTGTATATTTATCCTGTAAACCTGTATATATATCTATGTCAAGTTTTCTTCTGTCTGCAGAGCATAAACCCACTTAGTGATGGACGTGGAGGTGTAGGATGACACCAACATGATGGAGATTATGTGATCATCACCAAGGGGCGAGAGAGAGAAAGAAAGAGAGAGAGATGACTATCAGGTGAAATGAACAGGTCTTTGTTCCTCTCGCTCTCTCTTAAACACATCATCTCAGACAGGAGAGACACTGGAGCTCTAATAATCTCTCTCTGGGATCAAGTAAAGATGACACTCGTGTCAGTCAAGTCGTTAGGTCAGTGTTCTTTCTCTCTTTACTTCCCTTTCACAGACTCTCTTTCAGTCTCTTCTAGTGACTGATTCTTTCACTCTCCCAGACCAGAGTGAAGGATGACGATGTGCTTGGAATCAGCCTCTGTTCTTAACTAAAACACAATCAGGAGAGAGACAAAGCCAGGGAGGGAGAGAGAGTGTAAGAGAGGGAGGGAGAACCAGAACCACTTCACCAGCAGGCCCACAACACACGCCACAAGTGAAGGAGTGTCTTGCTAAAGCAAGGAGAAGGATAAATAATCTGCACTCACAGTGGGCCACAGTGGTATGCTTTGGTGCCAAACAGCAGTAACACTAGTAATACTCAGTAGCCGAAGTACTAGACACACAACAGAGAGGAAAAATGGAGAGGAACATTACACCAAATCTACTAGTTTCCACCACCTTTTATTCATTATCATCAATATGTGTGGTTTTCATGGTCTGATTGCTTTGTAGTCGATTGAGTTTGAGAAAATCACGTTAGTTTGTTTATATAGACAATTTTACTGAATTAGCTCAAACTGCAGTGAAACAGTAAAAATAACAAATACATTATAATTTAACTAAGTATTCAGACCTTAGATATTTACAAGGATCATGTTATGATCTATTTAAACCTAAGGCATTCATTAAGATAGTTATAAGCTACATATACACCGATTAGGCATAACATTATGACCACCTCCTTGATTCTACGTTCATTGTCCATTTTATCAGCTCCACTTACTATATAGGTGCACTTTGTAGTTCTACAAGTACAGACTGTAGTCCATCTGTTTTACTCTGCATACTTTGTTAGCCCCCCCTTTAACCTGTTCTTCAGTAGTCAGGACCCCCATAGACCCTTACAGAGCAGGTACTATTTGGGTGGTGGATCATTCTTAGCACTGCAGTAACACTGACGTGGTGGTGGTGTGTTAGTGTATGTTGCGCTGGTACGAGTATCAGCCACAGCAGTGCTGATGGAGTTTTTAAACACCTCAGTGTCACTGCTGGACTGAGAATAGTCCACCAACCAAAAATATCCAGTCAACAGCATCCTGTACAGCAAAAGATGAGCTATCGTCTCTGGCTTAACATCTACAGGGTGGACCAACAACGTAGGTGCGTCTAATAGAGTGGACAGAGAGTGGACATAGTGTTTAAAAACTCCAGCAGCACTGCTGTGTCTGATCCACTTATACCAGCACAACACACACTAACACACCACCATCACATCAGTGTCACTGCAGTGCTGAGAATGATCCGCCACCCAAATAGTACCTGCTCTGTGAGGGTCCATGGGGGTCCTGACTACTGAAGAACAGGGTAAAAGGGGGCTAACAAAGTATGCAGAGAAACAGAAGAACTACAGTCTGTAATTGTAGAACTACAAAGTGCACCTATATAGTAAGTGAAGCTGATAAAATGGACAATGAGCACAGAAACAAGGATATAATATTATGCCTGATCGGTATATACAAAATCATTTATAGGGTACTTTCCATTAGGAGGTGGCTGTCCCAAGCCTTAATAATAATAATAATAATTCTGTATCTTTTTTTAAGATCTTTTGATTTCTTTTAAAGCTAAAAGATTTGTCTAACATCTTAGTCATTACCGAAACACAAAGCATTTTTGTCAATAGGCGGAGCCTTATTTTAGCCACACCACTGCATTTTAGAGCAGGCAGTGAGACTGCATCCCTGTCCCTCATGGCCACATGGTGAGCAGTTAGATCCCGTTGTTTTGAAGTAAACATGCCTCAAAGTCTGAAAAACAGTGCTAAAACCTGACATAAATAATACTTGATGCAATTATCATGCAAAACAGAGGTATGCAGCAGTGGAAAGGGCTCAGTGTTGGTCTGAAAGGGTTTATCAAAAGATTTTAAGCATCTGAAGGCAGTAGGCAAAAGAAGTAAAGATGTTCTGGTCAAACACCCACTAATGACAGCATGCTTCCTTTTGAAAGCCCCGCTGATGCCTCGTATAAACACAGTGAGGGCTGAGAGTGGGCGCTGAAGCTGTGGAGGGGTCAGCTACAGACAGAGAGATTTACATTTATCCTCTAACCCTGACATGCCTCATGGAGCTCTGCCTGTATAGACTATGTCAACGTTTCTTCTCTGAAGAAAAGGCCTACTGGGGGAAATGAAGTGGACAAGATGGCCATTCAGTCTGCACTGCAGGGTTATGTAATTACAGCTAGCCTCATTTAAATTAGTAGTAATTTTAATGCACATCCTGGTTACTGTATATTTGAGCTTGTAGATACCTCTGGTAGAAATGAATAACTGATAGAGAACCGTAATGGTCAAAGTTCAGGTGTTAAAGCTCAAGTCTTATATAATGGAAAAGTGTAAAGACAAGGTTACACATAATGCATCATACACTCGAGGATCTGAAACTAATTAAAGCAAAGGATGCGTGTAGTCCTTGAATGTATATGTGCTTGTATTCATTGAAGTCATTGTGGATTAAGTGCATTTCTATGTATGAGCATGCATATGTGTGCATTAGTGGATGTGTAGGTGTGCTTATAATGAGTTATGTATAAGGTGGGATGAGGTGTGTAATACTTGTCTCTGAAAAGGCCACATTGTAGATGAGAAAGTAGAAGAATGCATGCATTTATATGTATGCTCTTAAACACAGATATTGTTATTTTAGCTGTTTACCACAGCATGTTTATTAAATTAAATTAAAATTCATAATGAATATGAGTTCAAAAGGCACAATTTCAGCTTTAATTCGAGAATAATTACATCTGAAGTGGGTGAACAGTGTAGGAATTACATAAATTGTTGTTTTTAATACTTATTTGCAAATACTTTGCTGTCGATGGCTGCCTGAAGTCTGGAATCCATACACCTGATGAGACACTGGGTTGTTCCCTGCTGTTGCTTTGCAAGACCTTTACATGGCCATCAATGGTTCCTGCTTGTTATTTGGCCATTTTACCTGCAGTTTTGTCTTCAGTAAGTGAAATGCATGCTCAGTGCTGCTTTTGTCATCATCATTAAGTACAAAGGAAATAGTCCCACTGGCAGCCATACATGTCCATGCCATAACACTACCTCCACCATGCTTGATAGATTAGGTGATATGCTTTGGATGAGCATTCCTTTCTCCATACTCTTCCTATCATTCTGGAACAAGCTGATCTTTGTCACATCTGTCCATAAGATTTCCCAGAACAGTACTGGATTTTTGTAGATGTATTCTAATCTTGTCTTCCAACCTCAACCTTAACCTCAGTAACCAAAAGTCCTTTCATTTTTTTAAAACTGATACAGCTTTTGGAAAAAAGGCACTTTATAAAGTCAGACAACTCCTGTTGTCTCTCTGGTTTTCCTGCAAAGTGAGGATCTTTGCCCTGAAAATGTATGAAAAAAAGATAATTTTTTTTAGATAAGGGTACCTTATCCCTCCCTACATCACTACCATTGCACTTAATCAAAAGTTCCCTCCCTCTTCCCAGCACATCCCCCCACACCTCCCTCATTTTCCATTAGGACTCCCTCCTTTAGCGCATGTGGTTGGCCTGTAGCTGTAATGCCTGGAAATCTGTTAGCCAAATAGATGGTATTGATAGCAGCTGAGGTTCATATTCAAGCGTTTTATAGTAGAATTTATTTCTTACTCAAGACAGTTTGTGAGTTTGGACCTTTAACGTAGTGTGAGAAGAGACTGTATGATTTGTAGGGAACTTGGGCTGAAGTTCTGAATGGCTTCTGCTTTAAACAAGAAGGCCAGACCCCTCCTTGATGAACAGAGACAGGACTGGGGGAGGAGATGGGGAGGTGTGGGGTACAGAAAAGGAAAGAAGACAAGATAATTTATAGCAAGATGGAGGAGCTTCAGGCATGGCTCTCCTCCCAAACTTTAGCTATTCTGTAACTCCATTAAGAGATGTCAAGTGGGCTTGACCACAATTTTTTACACTTTTGACATGTTTGCTTGAAAACCTGCTGATTTTCACTCACTTATAACAGAAGCCAACAGGCAGTTAATGAATTTAAAATTACACTTCAGCATTACAGTTCCATGAATTATAATGGATTACCACAAATTCTCCCTTCCAGTCCCTTCTCTGAAAGAGCAAATTATACAGATTTACAGCTTAATTTACAAATACCTTTGACTGAGGAATTCATGAAAGTGCTCTACAAAAAATGTGGCTCGCAGACATGTTTGCTGATAAGTTAAGCAGCTGAACAACAGCTTCCATTATAAGGCTGCGTTCAGATGGCAAAGCGTATTCCACAAAAATACACATCTAAACTGTGACGAATCTGCCTGTGAGAAGTTCTGCAAAGTGGACAGGAAGTGAAGCGGATCTTTATGGTCAGGTGGACCAGAACTTAGACACCACATCATACTTCACACTTAATGTGTAGACTAAAGAAACCTTTTCACTGGAGGAGAAAGACAAAAAGTAGATGATGGTACATATGCCAGTGAAATAAAGTCTACAAGCTAAATGTAATATAAATATAATGTCATTTTGAGTGGAATATGTTCCGCAGTCTGACCGTGACCCAAGTGTATTTCATATTGGTGAGTTTTTTGTTTTTTTGTAATTGCAGACAGACAACCATGGTCAAATTAATGTCCACGGTAACCTACCATCTGCAAAATGCAGCAAATAGAGATTAAGTGGACTTTAACATGCAAACACACAAGGCAGTCATCATCATCACCACCATCATCCTCTACTTCTCCTACCTCTATGAGCCTGTCCTGTGGTCTGAGGCCAGCACGGTCAGCCGGCGAGCCAGGGTCTAGAGAACGGATGTACTGGCCTGGTCTGGATTTCTCGCTGTGAAGGTTGAAGCCATAGCCCGTCTTGGCTCGCACCAGGTGACACAGCCTGGGGGCCAGCTCGGACACTTCTGCTGGAGAAGACTGCACTGGACCCTGAATCTCCTGCAAGAGAAAAGACATACAGGGTATAGATGTAAGCTTTATCATAGAGCACACCAGGTCCTACTAGTCCTCTTAGATAGACTAGGGCAAAAATCAAAACTGTGGCCTATTTACTATATATTTTTGAAGTCTGTCATTCTGTGGCAGAAAACATAGTGGAGAATATTCAGCACGCTCATACATTCCCACAGTGCACTGCAATACGTTGTGTACAAATACACCCAGAGATAGTTTATGGGGAGCCTGGCCACTTCCTATTTCTCCCATTATACCAAAAATATGACCGCAAAAAGCTAGAGGGTGCCTGCAGGCAAATCCTTAATGAATGGGGAGATCAGATCTAAATTCCTTTTTATGTATTTATGCGTAAACTTTCCTCAACTTTGGAGAGTAGAAGCATGTATTCCATCAAAAAAAGTCAAAGAGAACTTGCCAATATTGTTCCGTTTTTCTATAGCAAAGAGGTTTTGGGCAGTAGGACATGAGCATTACTGCTACTGAGCGCTCATTAGCTGGTGAGCTGATTGGCTCACTGATTAAGGTATAAAGTGTTTCGTACTCAGTGATGCCATGAACGTACATAAGACAGTGTTAAAAAGTCCTATAACTGGAATTGTGTTAAGAAAGTTAGTGCATTTTTCTGTCTAAAAATGATAAAGCATTTATAACCTAAAATTCTGTGCGAATGCTCCATAGGAAGCCATTCATTTTGCACTGTGTCAGCAACGCCCTCTAGTGCCTGACCAATCCAGAGGACATTACTGAATGGCAATTGTCCTCATTAGAAATTCTCTGACATACCCCAGTGAACACAGAATACTCACAAAGCACAAAGCCAAATGCATGACTGCTGCTGCAGGGTGATGAACAAACCCGTGTAACATTCTATGAAATAAATATTCAAATCATGAATTGTGTTCCTTGTTATAATGGTATTCTATATAGTGATCTCCATTTTCAATGCAGAGAATAGTGATAAAGGGACCATTTTAAACACAGCATAGAAATTCCATAGGCTAGAAAATTTTAGCCAGTCAGTCAGTGAGGGTCATTTCACTTTTTTTCAGTTCTCTGAAAATACTTGAGTAAGTGTGTCATGAGAGAAGAAATTAAAGAAAAACCTTGAATAAACAAACAGACAGGCAGGTGGACTGAATTATACATTTCAGCAGTTAGCCTCCTACCATGCTCTGTGGAATGTATGAAAATGCTAAGCAGGCCCAGCTGACCTTGACTTTGGTTAGATGAGTCATCCTTCACTGTTCTCCACAAGTGGGCGAGTGCATGTGTGGTGTACACAAAAGAGAACAGCACAGGCCTGAATGCTTGATCCCCACAGTGACGGGTCCAGGAACTCTATTGTGCTGTGGAGTTCATTTTGCTGGCATGGTATTGGTCCAACTGTCCCCTGAGAGCAGTGGTTCCCAACTCTGCTCCTGGAGTTCCCCCTGCCCTGCACATTTTAGCGTTTTCCCTTTCCCAACATATCTGATGCAACTCATCAACATCCAGTGTTGAAGTAGACGTCTCAGAGGAGGCAAAACACAAGAACGTATAGGACGGGGTATTTAAGGAGCAGGGTTGGGAGGGGTCACTGCAAATCAACACAAAGATACTGATCACCTTCATCCTATAATATCCATCCTGATAGAGATGGTCTTGTATTTATGCTTTCTATCTTGTATGCTTTACAGAGCACAAAGAGTCCCCGAATCATTTATTGTGTATGAAAATTATGTAAATCATATACTATGGCCTTTGCAGTCACCAGATCGCAACCTAATTGAACACCGATGGGAGATTTTGAACCAACATGTCAGTTAACACTATCCACCACCATCATCAAAACACCAACTGAGAGAATATATTTTGGAAGTCCAGTGTTCCATCCCTCCTGTACACTTCCAAAGAATATATTTCAAGGTGCACTGAAGGTGTTTTGACTTCACCCATTTCTAAGACACTTTATGTTGGTTTACTCATCTGTATTTGGTGGCCTTACTCAAAATTCTGGAGAGCTCACTAGACGTTATTGGTTGCTCTCTCCATCTCTGTAGGTATTTTTGTCTGTGCCACCTCCTACACACTTTTGTTGTCCCCCCACCCCCCCACTGTTTCTGCCTTCTGAAACAGCATGGCATGATATTTTTTCTCTTAGCTGAGAGCTGAGAAAATATCAAGACTTCTGTCTTTCTCTCAGTCCCACACATACGTAGTGTATTTACATGAAGTCTACATATACTACACATATATACAGATAGAATAGTATACACAGCAGATTGGCCTGGCAGCGCACACAGTGTAGTAGACAAGTGTTTGAGTAGAGCACAGAGCCAAATATCATTCAAGGAATGCAGAGGGGAGATTATATGGACACAGTACTAGTAGTATGATTTTGTTGCGATTATGTTTTATATTGCGACTGTAATACACTTTGTAATTAGGAGTGTAACAATTCACAAAATTTGTAATTTTGTTCTAATGGATATGATTCAATATAACCTTACTTAAGAATCTGGTTTTGTTTAAGAAGCAGCTAGGCAGACTGCTAATGAGCTAACAGGTAAACCCAGTAATACGTAATATTCAGAGTTATGTTTCAAGCTGAAATATTTACTAAACAATACAAAATGGGACTATACAAAGTAAATAAAGTTATCTGAATGTCTGTTTTAAGCTTTGTTTGTCTAAAGTCTGCGTGTAGACTTGAGCCATGTAGTACAGAACACAGTGGGTAACATTCGTATTAGCGAAAATTAGCAGAAATCATACTTTGCATTTTATCCAGGAGACAGGCAAGGCGGTCTAGCACCTGCACTCTCTGATTATGCAGCCATAAAGTTGTAACACATACAGAAATTTTCTTGGTGTTACCAAGTGGACATAAACATGAACATTCCTGAAAAAGATGATGTCTAAAAGGCAGCATATCGATGCTGTCGGAACAAAACCTCATATCTCCATTTTTGGGGTTTTTCAGTTTTTGACATAATTAACTGCCTGTTGCCCTTTACATTGTGTGTAAATTGCATGATGAATGGACCAAAAGACTGGTTCCATTGACTTACATTAAAAGTAAACTATGTTTTTTCCTTCTCCTGTAAAGTTCTCATTTTGGAGATACAAGGTTTTGTTCCAACAGCAGCGATATGTTGCTCCAAAATGTATACCTTTTTGCGTTAATGGTGCCTTCACAGAGGTGCAGGTCTAATACCACAATAAACACTGGCTTTGCAACTTTATACTGGTCTTAATCTGGATGATCCGTTTCTTCTTTGGCCCACAGAACAAAATGTCCTTTATTTTCATAAACAATCTAAAAGATTGACTCGTCAGACCACAATACATCTTTCCACTGTGCATCAGCCCATTTCAGATGAGCTTGAGCTCAGAGAACTCAGCATTTTTGAACAAAGATTCCTTGAAGCTTTTGATGATGATACACACTGTAGAGGGTGAAATACTTAAAAGCATTGCAATCGCTCCTTAAAAACGTTATTCTTAAACTGTTGCATTAGTTGCTGACGCATTTTTTGCCGAGATGAGCTTCAACCCATCCTTACTCATTAAGGACTATATCTTTCCCGGATACTCGATTTCAGAATTAACTTATTTACAAAAAAAAAAAACAAAAAAAAACAATGAAGTTGATATGGTACAGCATTAAATGTCTTTGTACTGTATTCATTTAAATACAAGCCAACGTGGATATACGAATCACTGCTTTCTGTTTCATTTGCTTATTTTACATACTGTCCCAACTTTTTTGTAACTGGGTTTGTAATTCGTAACAGGAACCCAGACGAGACTTGCACACAGGCATTCTGTGAAGCAACACTGGCCATAAGAAAGGACCAGCAAAAGGCAGACAGTGTCCTTTTGTTGCAGTATTGTTCCTACACATCAGTGTGCATTTGTGTATAAGCCTGCTGAAGAGAAACAGAGCTGTTCAGGAGGCTCTCTCTGCATGGGGTCTGACTCAGTCTATGTGGATGACTCAGGACCAAATGTGGCGCTGCACTTCAGAAAGACTCCACCTCATCTAAAAGAGCAGAGCCATCATCAGCAGCCATTTTCTTTGCCATGTTAGACGAATGTTTTAAAGTTAAAATGCAATGCAAGAGGAACGTTTTAATGTTAAAATATAGTTTAGTGCAAAAACAAATTGCCGATACTTTCCTCTGCCTTTTCAGAGGCAGAGGGTCTCTCATTTGCCATCTTACATAGAAACCACTGTCAGTGATCAAAACTCTGTCTCTAAGTGTGTCTTGTGTTATTACTTTCCCAGTTGCAATATATTATAAAGGTACTTGTGAATCAGTCATCTGCCATTGTTGAACTGGCCTACATTATTTATTTGTTAGATAACACAAGTATCTTGATCAATAAGACCAACAGAAATGTGACTCACAGCACACAGTAAACACACAGCCAGTGATCAAAACTATGCAGAGTACCTCCAAAAAGGGAGGGAGGGTGGGGTTTATGCTATTAACAAACTCATGATCAAATGACTGGGCTTTTTTCTGAAGTCACAAGTTCAATGTTCTGCGATTTTGGGGATTACTTTATCAGAGGATGCTGGCAGGTGTTGAAAAGTTCTGCTGGAGAACTTTATTTTTTTATCTGAGCCAAATCAATCTGTGTAGTACATAATTAAAACTATGGAGAATTAAGACATTTTTAACACAAAATATGAAAATTACACTGAAGCTTGAACTCAGACTACTGGCTTACTAGGCTAACTACTATCTACTATCTGATGTTAGCTAGGTCTAGAAACACACACACACATTATCTAAGCTGCTTATCCTTCTGGGTCCTGGGGGGGGTGCTGGAGCCTATCCCAGCAGTCACTGGGTGGAATATAGGAAACACCCTGGACAGGTCGCCGGTCCATCACAGGGCAAGGTCAAGAAACAGTGAAAACATATTTTCTCTGACAAACTAACCTGTTGGGACATCGTCCACTGATGGGAAAAGACCTTGCGTAGAACAAA